TCCCCAAATCTCAATTTATCCGGATAAAAAGGAACTGCACTGAGGAAACTAAATTTATTGAACAGTCACATAAATTAGAAGGTAAAATGTTGGAAAAAGGATATAAACAAGATGATCTAACCAAAGATCTCAATCAAGTGATGGCAATTAAGAGAGAAACCCTATTAATAGATAAAGGGATTAATGAGAATAAAGAAAGATTTAATGATAATGGCAACATACCTATATTCTGTAATTACAGTCATGGTAACCGTCATTTAAGAAAAATTATTAATAGACACTGGTCAATCTTAAAGGAAGACCCAGTCCTGTTCACCATTCTACCAGACAAACCCAAGGTGATCTTTAGAGGGGCACCTAACATGAAAAAATTACTAGTAAGGAACCACATCAGAAAACCATGCAGCATAAAGCCAATTGATACTAGGAAAGGTTTCTTTTGTTGTGGAATATGTTTGGCGTGCAGGAACACTGGAAGCAAAAAAAGACATATAGGGAAATTCAAAAGTACTAAAGAAAATGAAGAGTTCAACATAAACAATCTCATCACTTGCCATTCAACCAATGTAGTGTACCTGTTGGAATGTCCATGTGGCCTCAAGTATGTGGGCCGCACAAAACGTAATCTGCATATTAGAATAGAAGAGCATATAAGGAACATTAAGAAGGGATATGAAGGACACAGTGTATCCAATCATTTCAAGATTACACACAACAGCAATCCTCAGGGGCTCATATTTATGGGCATACACAAAACTTTAGGAAATTGGAGAGGCGGTGATTTTAACAAAATTTTAGCTCAAAATGAAATGAGATGGATTTTTAGCCTTGGGACTTTACAACCCAAAGGTCTAAATATAGATTTCGAACTCTGCCATTTCCTTTAATTATCCTTAACATATATTCAACAGTATCATATTATATCTGTACCATCTGCAATATTATATCTGTACTATCAAAATTTATGCCATTTGGTTTTATGTCCTCTTATAAAATGAAGTCTTGAAATCCAATGGGAGAAGTTTGTCTTGATTGCATTCTCTCATCCAGTAAGTTTTTAATCGACCCCCATTTTGGTAATCCCTTTTATTTTATATTTGAGGGAAATCTCTCTGTTATTGTACCTATCTATCTATTTCACTTTGTTAATATGCATTCCGTTTTTTTTTTTTTTTTTTATTAACAATGACATTTGGGAAGATGTTGGAGGGCGGAAGTGATGTCACTTCCGCCAACCACTGCCCTGAATGGGTGCTATACATGACAGCCCCATCCAATCACCAATAGAATTTGTTCTAATCAAGTTTTTTAATTGATTGACAGGCAATTCAGCCAATGAAAGCCTTTTTACCACAGGTGATCAGTACAAAAAAATTTTTGAGAAAGATAGCCCTATCCAACCACCAATAGAATAAGTTTTTTAACTGATTGACAGGCAATTCAGCCAATGCAAGCTTTTTTACCACAGGTGATCAATATAAGAAATTTGAAAAATACAGCACCATCCAACCACCAATAATAATCAAGCTTTTTGATTGATTGACAGGCAATTTAGCCAATGTAAGCTTTTTTACTACAGGTGATTAATATAAGAAATTTGAAAGAGACTCTGACCTTATGATTGGATAATCACACATCCTGTGACCTCAAAGGGAGGATCCGAATCAACTTTAGAGCACTTATAAAGTGGAAGATTCCTGAGGCTACTTCACAGCTACTGAGGAAGCTCATACAAGAGTGAAACGCGTTTAGCTGGAGTTTGGACTTTTATACTTGGACTTTCCATCATTTAGCTTATGTGCTTTTGAGAAGTCTAAATATTGTTTTTATTATTATTTTTTATCTCTACAATAAATTGTTATTTTTTTATATATTAGTCCATATAGTCCTTTCTAGCCTCCAGGAACACCATGTGGGGAATGCTATCCCAATAAATTAGCACATTGCCAACAAACCTCAGAGCCAGGAATTCAAGGCTCTGTCTAAGGTGAGCACATCTATTACTATCTCACTATATTGTATACACCATCTGTACAATACCATCTATGAGGTTCTCTCTCTCTGTTTGTTCCATATCTTCGGGAGAATATCGTTTGGGATAAAGGGGTGTGTTGCTGCCTCAAGAGCAAGAAGGAGTCACTTACGGAGCCAATAGCACTATATTTAACCCTATAACTTTCCAAGACACCATAAAACCTGTACATGGGAGACTTCGCTGAACACAAATATTAGTGTTTCAAAACAGTAAAGTGTATTACAACGATGATATCACCAGTAAAAGTTAAGTTTTTTGCCTTTTTCATGCACAAACAGCACTTACACGGACAATATTATTGCTGTGATACTTTTACTGTTTTGAAACACAAATATTTGTGTTCAGCGAAGTCTCCCGAGTACAACAGTATCCCTCATGTACAGGTTTTATGGTGTTTTCAAAAGTTACAGCGTCAAATATAAGGCTTGCGTTTCATTTTTTCACATTAAAATTCGCCAGATTGGTTATGGTGCCTTTGAGACCCTATGGTAGCCCAAGAATGAAAATTACCCCTATTATGGCATACCATTTGCAATAGTAGACAACCCAAGGTATTGCAAACGGGGTATGACCAGTCTTTTTTAGTAGCCACTTAGTCACAAACACTGGCCAAAATTGGTGTTTTTTGCATTTTTCACATACAAACAAATACTAACACTAACTTTGGCCAGTGTTTGTGACCAAATGGCTACTAAAAAAGACTGGACATACCCATTTGCAATACCTTGGGTTGTCTACTATTGCAAATGGTATGCCATTATGGGTGTAAATTTCATTCCCGGGCTACTATACAGTCTCAAAGGCAACGTAACCAATCTGGCAAATTTCAATTTCAAATATAACGTGCTATATTTGACCCTGTAACTTCCCAAAACGCCATAAAACCTGTACATAGGGGGTACTGTCTTACATGTGAGACTTTACTGAATATAAATATGTGTATTTTATTGCAGTAAAAGCAAACAGTATTATGACACTGACCGTTAAAATGTCATGTAGAACTAAAAAAACAAAAAAAAACGTATTTTCTCCCATTTTTTTCATATTAAATTATGTTTCATAGCTAAATATTTGATATTAAATGAAAGCCCTGTTTCCCCTGAATAAAATGATATATAATAAGGGTGGGTGCATTTACTATGAAAGAGGTGAATTACGGTTGGACAGACATGTAGTGCAAATGCCAGGTTTTGTTTACATTTTGTTTCGCTCACAACGTGTACATTTGGCTCCGTCCTTAAGGGGTTAAGCAGATAATGATCATTTTTTGAAAAGGGATCTTTTACTGAAAGTAAACTGATTCTGGGGTGCTGGATGCAGTGGTAGCACTATTAGTAGACTTGATATTTGTGTGAAATCTGATAAAGTATGAATATTAAAAATATGAATTTTTAATATGAAAATATTTTATATAAAAATTTCATACCAAGCTGATGTTATAGCAGAGTTTACATATAAAACAAATAAAGACAATCCGATAAATGCAAACAATGTAATACACCGTTTAGATTTATAGTTCAAATGCAATTTTTGGCACCATTAGCTTTCCATAAGCATTCCACTTCATTTATAAAAATGGAGTCATGTGTTCTTCACTCCTCTCTGCAAAATTGAGAAATTCCTTTTCTCTGTCCCATGCAGTGCCCTTTCCCTTGTTTGTAACTATAATTTTCTATAAGAAGAGGATGTGTTTCAAACTGCAGCTGTTGTTAAACATGCAGCTTTAGCAAAAATATAGGGGTTCAGATTCTTCCACAGCCGGATGATAATGATACTAATAGATTCTTATATGCTTTAAGTTCACACTTGCTATAACATGGCTGTGTGTAATCAGCTGACTAATAACAGGTGATACTCGAAAAATGAGTGTAACGGCACCCCCAGGCATAAAAGGGGTTAAAAGCCATTTAGGAGATATTCCCTACAAATATACTGTAGACACCAATCAACCGAACCGGAGAAGCATATGAATGCTCTCAAACATACAAATGCTGTAAACAGCCTAATAGGAAAAACCATACGAAAGGTTTACACTACTAGCAGTCGAACTGGAACAGCATACAATAAATCCCCCCAAAAACGAGACAAAGCTCTGTGTTGAGGGTCAAGCAGTGAACAGACAGAGCTGTGGGTTTATTGTTCTTATTTACACATTCTTACACATTAGTACCACCCACAGGGTTTTGGAAAACAACCAATAAACACGTACAATACACTCAGACACTACCACACAAAATCCTGTGATACAATTACCTTACACAATGGGTTAATGTAATTAACACAGGCAGAGAAATACAGTTTTTCCACATTATTCATAACTTTAAAAGTATACATCACATTCACATAAACTTACATTTTCAGAATCAGCATACTCCAAATACAAACATATGTCAAAATCATCCAGATTGGTCCATTGGTTGAAAAGATAGATTGAAGTCCTTTGTGACCAAATGAAGCATGGCTTTTCTGCCCAAAACCAGTTCCACAGAGTCTTCTATCCTGGAGATAATTGGGAGATAATCAAGTTATCAACTATTCAAATAGGGCAAGTACCGAATGACCCGACTTTCGTGTCTTTGCAGGGGAAAATAAAGCGTTTCAACATGGGGCCATAGTCTACAGGCAGCAGGCGGGCAACCAGGCTCCTCCAATGCACAGTGGCGAGACTGGTCTCGTCACAATTAGAATATTGTGCAAAAGTTCATTTATTTCAGTAATGCAACGTAAAAGGGGAAACTAATATATGAGATAGACGCATTACATGCAAAGCAAGATAGTTCAAGCTGTGATTTGTCATAAGTGCGATGATTATGGCTTACAGCTCATGAAAACCCCAGATCTACAATCTCTGTGAGCTTAGAATATTCTAATTTACTGAGGTTGTGGATTAGATAAGAATATTCTAGGCTCACAATGTCCCACTCCTATCCACTAAGTAAGCCATAACACCTGCAAAAGAGTTTCTGAGCCTTTAAATGGTCTCTCAGTCTGGTTCAGTAGGAATCACAATCATGGGGAAGACTGCTGACCTGACAGTTGTGCAGAAAACCATCATTGACAACCTCCATAAGGAGGGAAAGCCTCAAAAGGTAATTGCGAAGGAAGTTGGATGTTCCCAAAGTGCTGTATGAAAGCACATTAATAGAAAGTTATGTGGAAGGGAAAAATGTGGAAGAAAAAGGTGCACAAGCAGCAGGGATGACTGCAGCCTGGAGAGGATTGTCAGGAAAAGGCCATTCAAAAGTGTTGGGGACTTTCACAAGGAGTGGACTGAGGCTGGAGTCCACACACCACACACAGACAGATCCTGAACATGGGCTTCAGATGTCGTATTCCTCTTGTCAAGCCGCTCCTGAACAACAAACAGCGTCAGAAGCGTCTTGCCTGGGCTAAAGAGAAACAGACCTGGTCTGTTGCTCAGTGGTCCAAAGTCCTCTTTTCTGATGAGAGCAACTTTTGCATCTCATTTGGAAACCAAGGACCCAGAGTCTGGAGGAAGAATGGAGAGGCACACACTGCAAGATGCTTGAAGTCCAGTGTGAAGTTTCCACAGTCTGTGTTGATTTTGGGAGCCATGTCATCTGCTGGTGTTGGTCCACTGTGCTTCATTAAGTCCAGGGTCAACGCAGCCGTCTACCAGGAGATTTTGGAGCACTTCATGCTTCCTTCCACAGACGAGCTTTATGGGGATGCTGACTTCATTTTCCAGCAGGACTTGGCACCTGCCCACACTGCCAAAAGCACCAAAGCCTGGTTCAATGATGGTAGGATTATCCACAATCTTAGATGGGCCAGCAAACTCGCCTTGATGGGCCAGCAAATTCGCCTGACCTGAACGCTATAGAGAATCTATGGGGCATTGCCAAGAGAAAGATGAGAGACATGAGACCGAACAATGCAGAAGAGCTGAAGGCCGCTATTGAAGCATCCTGGTCTTCCACAACACCTCAGCAGTGCCACAGGCTGATAGCTTCCATGCCATGCCGCATTGAGGCAGTAATTGCTGCAAAAGAGGCCCAAACCAAGTACTGAGTCCATATGCAAACCAAGTACTGAGTCCGATATTGTTCTATGTACACTCCTTGTTTTATTGATTGCATGTAATATTCTAATTTACTGAGATTTGGAGTTTCCTGAGCTGTAAGCCATAATCATCGCACTTATGACAAATCACTGCTTGAACTATCTTGCTTTGCATGTAACGCGTCTATCTCATATATTAGTTTCCCCTTTTACGTTGCATTACTGAAATAAATGAACTTTTGCACGATATTCTAATTTTTCGAGTATCTCCTGTACAAACCCAAAGTAAGTTAACTTGAGTGGGTTGATGGTCTGGCTTAACTATAGATGGTCAGAGAAATAGGTAAGTCAATAAACTAGCTAAGAAATATATTTAGGAACTGCACTCAATCCAATCACTCTGAGCCAGGGTGCAAATAAACCTGGACCTAGCACCAGGTCCCAAATATCATATGCAGAAAATTAAAGAGAGGTTTAGGCACTCCAAGGTTCAGGTAGGCAATTTATTCAAACCCAATGCCGCACCGCAACGTTTCGACCTGCAAGGTCTTTATTAAGCTATACCTGTCATGAACTGTCTGTCATGGTGAGACCTTAATAGTTTGCTCTGCGCATGGGTTAAATTTATATTATCGTAATATTTTCTATCGCAATGTACGTACCCATTGTGCCTACACTTTGTGATCCATCCTCAAATGCATCAGCAGGGATTACGCTGGATGTGTGCTGGTGACGTCACACGCTGACCACGCAGATGTGTGCGCAGCATGGCTCATACCGATGGACTTAGTTCTGCTGGGGGAGTGTCCTTGCAGGTCTGTTGATCGGTGTCTTTGGTTTACCATAATATAGTTAGTTATTAGTATCTTAAATATTTTAATTTCATGTTTTGTCTTCCCATTGGACATTACGTCTCCCACACAGCTGCCACTCTTTACCAACAAGTAGGTTTCACATTGAGGGGATGATGTTTTTGATTGCAAGAATAGTCATGACAAGCCAATGATCAATAAACTAGGAATCAGATATGCAAATGAACACAACCTTGGATGACCACGAAGTCAAATGACAAAGGTGAGGTAGTGTCACATATTCATCCGCACATAAAAATGTGGAAAAGTTGTGCCGAGCAGCAATCAAGAACATGGAAACCTGGTAATTAATTTGGGGTCAAAGGCCGGTCATGGCCAATCAGATCCACAGGAGGGTTTGTGCTGATCAGCAATCATGCACATGGAATCCTGGTAATTACTTTTGAGGTCAAAGGCTGGTTACAGCCAATCGGATTCACAGACGCCTCCACTGCCTTAATGCATATCAAACAAGGGAACCTGTCTATCTCAGATTATGCCATAGAATTTCGTACTTTGGCATCTGAGGTAGACTGGGCTAATAACGGATTAATCGCTGCTTTTAAATAAGGATTATCCGAGAATATTCTTGAAGAAATTGCTGCCGAAGACCTACCGAAGGGGTTAAATTACTTTATTACTTATGTGATGCAGATCGATAATAGACTCAGGACCAGGGAAATTGCTAGAAACAGAACTAGACGTGTGACTATGTCACTAGCACCTCGATTCTCCAAACCAGTTGTCTCTGGCCTTCCAACGCTGTCTTAATCTGAACCTATGCAGTTAGGGGTTACTGGACTGTCTGAGGAAATGAAACAGTATAGGAGAAAAGAGGGTCTTTGCTTATATTGTGGCAAAAAAAGACACATGAGAGATGCTAGTCCTATACATCCGGAAAACTTCCGCACCTTAAAATCTTAAGGGGACAGGTCTTAGGTGTAATGGATACATCCTCAAACAATTCCCAAAGCAGATTTCTCCTTAACATTTCCACCTTTTCATGCAAAGCCCTGGTTAACTGGGTGCGGCTGGTAACTTTATTGAATTATATTGTTTTATGAAACACACTATACCAGTCCAGGAGAGATCATCACCTCTAGTGGTTGAGGTTATTGATGGGAGGCCCCTATCTCAACCGTTGATTACCCATGAGACCTTGCCTATTTGCATTACAATAGGAGCTTTGCATAAGGAAGACATTACCTTCCAGATAATCGCTTCCCCTTCTTGTCCCATCGTATTAGGTTTCCCTTGGCTCATCAAGCATTGCCCTCACATTGACTGGACTAAAGGGGAAATACTGGAAAGGGGTAAAGACTGTCAGGAAAACTGCATGTCTCACATTACTAAAAAAGTGGGCATTGTTGCTTTACCCACTGCTACGTCTCTGACCCCTGAAATTCCTGTACAGTATTGGGAGGTTAGGGATGCGTTTAGTAAAAGCCAGACTGATGTTCTTCCTCCATACAGGTCATATGATTGCTCCATTGATCTGTTGCCTGGGGCTATGCCTCCTAAGGGGTACATGCCCTACCCCCACATGAAAGTTTGATCATGGATGAGTACATCAAAGAATCGTTTAGAAAAGGCCATATAAGTAAATCATCCTCGCCTGCTGGATCAGGATTCTTTTTTGTAGCTAAAAAAGATGAAGAGTTATGAGGACCGATCACCTACTGACCTGACCTGACATGTACCTGTACCTGTATTTGTGCAATTACAACATGTTAATCGATGTGCCTGGAATCTACATGTGTGCCCCCTCCCCTTCTCCCTTTCTGTACCCCAAACCCAAAATCTTTTCAATAAACTACGAATTGAAAAAAAAAAATGGAGAGTTATGTCCTTGAATTGACTACAGGGCATTAAACAAGAATAATACAAAGAATGCCTATCCCATTCCCCTTATATCCAGATTGTTTGATGGACTCCAGGGTGCTAAGATCTTTACCAAACTTGACCTTAGAAGTGCATATGTAGCGGATGGCACTGGGCTGTCCTGCAAATGTCTTGTGAATAACTGCATTCGTGTAAACTGCTGGTTTTATATGTGTTTAAAAGAATTGTATTCCTCTGATTGTTCGGTAGAATCATTCGAATAAACGAAGGGAATGAAACTACCGAACAATCAGACCTCACCTGTGTGAAGTGTGTCCTCAATTACCCGTTGCAACATTGTTGCGAAAGGGTAATTGACAAGTTAAGTAGCCGTCCTTTGTTCTCGGGGGTGGCCGCCATTCGAAAAATGAACACGTGGCGGGGGCCATTTTAAAAGTCCCGAACAGCGGTGTTTTGCCGTTGAGTGTCTGGAACTCAAATCGGACACTCGACTAGGCGAACACCGCTGAAACCTCCACAAGCCCGGTCCGTTCGGTTCCTAACTACCGAATGGCCCCTCGTTCGGTAGATAGAAAGAACCGAATGAGGGGATTCAGGCGAACCCTCCCTAGCCTCTATAGCTAGAGGCTTTCGTGCAGTTTGTTCCCTTATTCCAGGACCATAAATTTTATTCCCTCCATAAATTTCCCAAACCCCTGGTCTGATCTGGGTGATTTTTGGATATGTTGTTCACCCAGATCAGGGCTATCAGGGGGTGTAGGATTTAAAGGGGTACCCCTACGTTTAGGGGTACATCCAGAAACGGGGGGAATTGCTAGACTGGATAAGGGGATTATGATGCTGGCTGAGGGGAGGAGATGTGTGGGAGGTTACCAGGGCAGGATTGGCTACTGTACTAATGATTGTAAATCCCTCCCTTGCATGGGAGCATGCTTTAAAAGGACAGTGTGGATTAAAGATTGCAGTTCTGCTCCTGAAACTGTGTGTCGTCCAGTTATTGGGATTGCTGTTGGGATATTGCTGTTATTTTACCTGCTGGAAACCTTGCCTGTGGATTTACTATTTACTTGTTCCTGAGCCTCACTTGGATTATAAGCGGAGATAACCTGGGGAATATTGCATCTCCGCTACATTGGTGGCAGCGGTGGGATCGTTCCACCTGGATCCGACCCGGCCCACCACCACCACCAAGAGCAGCCGCAGCCCACCACTACCTGGATATAGTGGCCACACCATATGGTTCAGCTGTTCCCATTATAGCCGTGGAACAGTGGGAAGTACTGCACGAGGCGGATCCAGTCCAGGCCAATGCTGACAACCGACAGCATCACAGGCAGACCGTATACTTGGAGGGTAAAGCGGTCCAAGGTCTACGCAACTCAGGGGCTACCATCACCCTGGTAAAGAGTCACCTGGTTTTGGATCAAGCTAAACTAAGGAAGACTGTGGCTGTTAGGGTAGCCGGGGAGCAGTGTACCGGCTACCTACAGCAAGGGTGCATTTGCATTGGGGAGCGGGGTCAGGACATGTGGAGGTGGGGTTGATGCCGCA